TATAATAGATATCAGTTTTTAAAAAACCGACATCGAAAAAAATCGAGCCGAGCTGACCGCTTATCCCGACGACTGCGTCGCCCTTATCCACCCGTGCTTCTCTCTCTCCCTCCCCCCACCCGCGAGCCCTGCCCACCCGCAAGCTCTGGCGGCGGTGCCCTCCCCACCTCTCTCTCTCTCTCTCAGCGGCCCGGCGGAGGTGGCGGCGGGGGCCTGGTGGCGCACCCTTCCCTCCACCAGATCCAGCGGGAGGGGAGACGGCGGCAGCCCGACGACACAGCGGCAACGCCCTCCCCACCTCTCTCTCTCTCTCACTTTCTCAGCGGCCCGACGGAGGTGGTGGCGGCCCAGTGGTGGCAGTGACGGCCCGGTGGCACGCCCTCCCCTCCACCAGATCTGACGACGGGAAGGGCGGTGGCGGCAGCCTAGCGACCCGGTGGCGACGTCCTCCCTCTGCCATTTCTAAAGGGAGGTAAAGGCGGCGGTGGTGCTGAAGGCAGCGACGCCCTCCTCCTTGTTAACATCCGACGACATTGGCGGTGGTGGAGAAGGCCGGCGCGGAGGGTGATGTGACCGCCTGCGACGCGAAGTGTTCTGTGTTGTTAATGTGTTCTTAGATGTGTTCTGTGATGTGTTCATGATGTTCTTGACATGTTCTTGAAGTTCTTGATGTGTTCGGCTTCATTCGAGCTGAGCCAGCTTTTTTTTTTCTCATTCATCTTTATAGGTGCCGGTTCTAAACCGCTGGCACCTATGTGGTTTCACATCTATACCACCTCCGTAGTGACAGTTGGAAAATCCGGCACCTATACCGGGTTCTCAACCGGCAACAATATCCTCTTCTTTAGTAGTGACACCATCATCACATCCTTGAGGGGTTGACATGATGATTGACAAGAAATGTTGCACATTTAATGTATCGTCTCATCTACAAATACACGTATATATGTAGCTTTTTTTTATATGCTGATCTCACTTTGCATAACTTACTGCTAATTTTACTGATTTAAGGATCCTGTTTTTACCATCGTTAATTCTGTAGGATCGAACACAAGCAATCAAGCCTACCAGAGGAGGGTGAATGGTAGGGAAAACCAAAAACCCAAAAACTTTTAGCGGAAATAAAAGTTACCCTCAAATCGATGGAAATCTCGACGTAGTCCTGTTGCTGCCGGTCGGATTGCTCACACGCTGCCAGTTGAACCACCTTGCTGCCGCCTGAACCCGACGAAACACAAATCAAAGAACGCTCAAAGTAGATGACAACTTTATTGCTTCTCTCTGTGTTTACAAAGTGCAACTACAGCATTCCTTACAAAAAATCTCGACTAAACTCGAAACCCTAACTAAACTATCAACTCAATTGCTCTCAAAGCGATACCGGAAAACCTCACGCTCCCTCTCTATTTATACCAAAAAACCCCCTACTCAAAGTAGGTGTAAAACTCCTATTCACAATAGGACTCAATCTCTCAATTTCCAAACCTTTTACAATTTACCAAAACTCGCACAGCCGCAGCCAACCGCATCGGACTCGATCTCCTGCGCTTGCTCCTGCTTGGGCCTATCGCATGTGGGCTGACGTGCTGCTGCTCCTGGACCGGCTCGGCCTCCAGCCAGCTGCCACCGAAGCCCACCGAGCCATCACACATGCATGGCACAACATGCATGCATCAATCACCATACATACATGCATATGCTACGACCAGCATACACACATATATGCATACACGACTGCTACAGTAACTCGAAGCACTGTAGCACCATATACTTCTCTCTAATTTCTTCCAATCTCCTTCGCGAACCCTGGCACTTGCACGCACACCTCGTGAAACCCGTTGCGAAGATCTCTCCCACACGGTGTCCATCCACCATGTGCCATCTCGTATCCAACTTCGTCACCCGGTATCCTTAACCGTCTGAACCTCAACTCCTCTATGAGTTTAGTCCCGATCCCCACCGTTGACCGAAGTTGACCTCTAAGAATCCGGACTCTAGTCACCTTCTCACATGGTATCCCGACCGCACTAGACCTTTGTTCCTCCCTGAATATAGTCCCGGCCCTCACCATTGACCAAGGCTGACCTCAAGTCACCTGCACACAATCAGACAAAACAACCGTTTCTGGACACAGATATCACAAGCTAACCCACATTAGTCACACGCACTCACACCAACATTTACATAAACTCTCAAACCAATTCTTTAATTAAATCATTTGTATAGCCAATTATTCATCACAAATATTAATCATGACAATGATTTTATAAATTCCATGTTCTCAATGAGAACGTACCATCATCCCTGTTTGTGTAGATAAGCAGAACTTAATGACAAGGTGATTATGGATTCATGGAAGGGTCAATGCATTGAGGTTAGCAAATCAAGTTTGATCACATCTCTATCCAGTAGTATTTTAATATATTTTTATTTGATTATATACACACCTACGCTTTTAATAAAATTTTAGTTATGTCAGAAATTAAGACTCTTTAGCGCCTCTTTGGCACAGCTTTAACTTCAGCTCCATCTCTTTTGGAGCTGGAGCTCAGCCAAACAGTTTCAGCTCCACCTAAAATAGAGGTGGAGTTGGGTTTAGGCAGCTCCACAACTCCACTCCAAACCAACTCCTGTAGCTGAATTTAGGAATTGGAGCTCTACTAAACATGCCCTTAATCATGAGTTAGGGCACACCTTGAATGTGTAAGTGTTGTGTGCGTGACTGCGTTTGTGCATTTGCATGTTCTATGTGATGAAAAAGTATATAGATATTAAAAAAAATTATATGAACATATATTGATAACACATGCAAATATGTGCCCAAAGCCATCAATAAGAAATTTTTATCGTCGATTTTATTTATTAGATTATATAAAAAGCTATAATTACTTGTGACTCCATGCCAATTATCAAACACAACTCACTATTCTCACTACTGATTTGTTGTTGAATTCAAAATTATTAAATGGTAGGAGACGTACCCGTCGACAGCGATGCACCTATGGTGACTTCGTCAATCTTCAGGATAGATTGCCGGCCCAGTCTTCAAAGATGCTTATAGGGGTAGGGTTTACGTGCGTACTTTCATAGGGGTGAGTGTGCGTGCATTGTGAGTATCTGTGTTGTACCGTGTAATTCTCAAAAAAAATATTAAATGGTGAAACAAAATATAGTTAAGACTCTCTGTTGATACTTAGTAATTCATAATTTCTAAATTAAATTAATAAAAAAAACTCCAAAAAGTACTATAATAAGGCTTTGGCGTGAATTAGAATTAGAATAAAAGAAAAACATAATACTTGTAAAATTAGTAACAATAGCCCATGCAACGCATGGGTTGTTGGCTAGTATTTGTTAATTTCGAATAGAGATTTTATAACAGACTTGAATAAACGTGTTTTCTCCTTAAGCGTGGGGTGGCTATAATTAGTAATGTCGCTATCCGCTCCATCGCATCCCCCACCCTTGACCGCCTCACTCCACCACGTGCACCTTCACTCCCTCCTCCAGTCCTCCGCTCTCTCCTCCCTCCCCTCCCCTTCCCTCCCATTCCATCCCCACCCCACCACTGGCCCCTACAACATCGTTGCAAGAATGGTAATGGGGCATAAGGTTGAGCTGCGGTGGCGGATTTGAGAGGCACGAGCGGTGACGGAAGCGTCGGGCGGCGAGCGGCGCCAAGCGGCCTGAGCGGTGATGGCACCGGTTGCAGATCGAGGGCGGCGCCAGCTGCGGATCGAGGACGGCACCGCCGCTCCTATCTCCCCGTCGGCTGCCTCACCGCTCTCCCCTCTCTCCTTCCAGATCTGGCATGCTTCTCCCTCTCCACCCTCACTCCATGGCTACACCCTCCCTCTCAACCATCCGTTGTAAAAAAAATAAAAAACGGGCTAGCGACGATGATGATGGAGGGGAGGTCGCGGCGGAGGAGAGGTCGCGGAACTCCGGATGGGGGTGGGGAGCGCGGTTGTTGTGATATAACGTGAGGAGAGAGATATGCTATATTTACCCTTTCTCTCTCCCGTTTTAGCGCATGCGCTAGTTTTGGATGACTGGATGGCGCATCCACTAGAAGTGGTTTTTTTCGCTCCTATGCGCCAAATTAGGGATGGAGGACCAGATAGAGGAGCTGTTGGGATGCTCTTAGTATCCTTGGTTGTTGGATTTTTAGTTTGCTTTATGTTGAGCGAACCAAGTAATAAGTAGCTGTAGTTTTTTAAGCAAAGATCAGGATTTATTTCATCAATTGAAAAAACACCAATCATGTTGTGACAGCATCTTTGAAAACAAGAAATTGCTCACTACTCGCATACACAAATTTAGGCATCAACCGGTTACTTGTGTGGAAGCGATATCGAAAGTGGTAACCGGCTGATTGCCACCGGTAAATAGAGTGCCGCATAATACCCAAATCTTTACTTTAAGAACTGACCAAATCTTTTGTGTGCAAAAATGTTAAATTCCACGTGTAGTTCAAAAATTCAAAGTGTGGGTTTCTTCGGAAAAAGAAAAAAGGAAAACTTCAAAGGGTGTGTGAGCCTCTCACCGTTCATTGTCCCGTGTCCACTTGTCCAGTGGATATGGACAGCAACTGTTCACAATGTGATGCTAATTTTATATTTATTAGGACCATAGAATGCAATAAAATATTAGTCAAAGTATGTTTTTAAAAACAGTGTACTACACAGCGACGCAACGGACCACTTGTCCACTGGAAATGGACAGCAACTGTTCACAATCTCGGCAAGTTATCATTTACTCCCTCCGTCCCAAAATATAATAAGTTTTAGCCCTCAGGATTTGTTCCAAAATATAACAACTTCTCTACCAATATTCTTTTCCCAACCGATCATAATCCTCCACCATTCACTTTTCCCATATACCTCCACTACTTATCCAATCACAATCTTTCACCACTCACTTCTACCTATTTTTTTAATAATTGTGTCCAATTCTAAAGTTTCTTATATTCTACGGATGGAGTATCAAAAAAGAGAAAAAAAAAGGCCTCTAGTAACACAACGACGCAACACCTTCCCTAGCCGCTTAAGTGCTTAACTGACGCTTCGCATTAATTATCGACTCGACTCACTCGAGAATGCGAGAATCTCGACTCGAGCAGACAGGAAGAATGGCTTCCTCCACCTCCGGGAGAAGAGGACGAGGACGACTCCTCTCGCCTGCGGCGGTTGTGCTGGCGGCCGTGGCTGTGCTGCTGTCGGCGTCACAGGCACTGGCGGCGCCGTGCTACCCGCGCGTGTTCAGCTTCGGGGACTCGCTAGCTGACACGGGCAACGGCCCTTTCCTCTACGGCAACGAGTCCCGCCGGCCACCGCTGTGGCCACCCTACGGCGAGACCTTCTTCCACCGCGCCACCGGCCGGGCCTCCAACGGCCGCCTCATCATCGACTTCATCGGTACGCTACTCGCAACCAATCCAGCCCCTCCACCTGTATTTGCTTAACCCAACATAGTACTAATCACTTGAGATTTGGAAATCGCGCGCGTGGCGCCGGCCTCAGCTGACGCGCTGGGGCTGCCGTTCCTGCGGCCGTACTGGGGCGGGCGGACCACGGGGGACTTCGCCAGCGGGGCCAACTTCGCGGTGGGCGGCGCCACGGCGCTCAGCCCGGACTTCTTCTGGGAGAGAGGCGTGCACGTGCGCGACACCGTGCACCTCGACATGGAGATGAACTGGTTCCGCGATCTGCTCGGCCTGCTCTGCCCAGACGATCTTGCCGGTATGTTCGTCTATTTGTTAGACTTAATCTTGTTATTTACTTTAGGGTGAATAGCTAATATGGTCCCTGAAGTTTCTCTTTAGGCTCAGTTTAGTTCTTGAAGTTTCAAATCGTCCAAACAAGTCCTCCAAATTAATTATTTGGGTTAATATAGTTCTTGGATCCAAAAAAGTGCCACGTGAGCATGCCAAGTCATCCTCACATGCAGCGGTATGAATGAAATGACCATTCTACCCTTATATACCACCTAGAAAAGAAAGAAAAAAAAGAAGATAAATGTTTTCACACGTGTATGTTCGTTTTAGAATTGTCACTTACGATTGTTGCTGGCCTGTTATTTTTTTCTGTTTGTGTTTTTTCTTTCTTTTTTATATGGTATATAAAGGTAGAATGGTCATTTCATTCATACCGCTACATGCGAGGATGACTTGGCATGCTTACGTGGCACTTTTTGTGGGTCTAAGGACTATATTAACCCAAATGATTAATTTGGATGACTTGTTTGGTCGATTTAAACTGAGCCCGAAGCGAAACTTCAAATACCATATTAGCTATTCACCTTTACTTTAGTGTGAGTTGTGATTAGTGTGTGCATGAGTTAGCTTGATCAAGAAAGTCCATGACCTGCATGAAGGTGCTTGCATGTCAAGTAGCTGCAGTAGTGGCGTGGATAGTGGATCAGTTAGCTCTGTTGCATGTGTGTGTTAGTGCTCTACACGCAAGGAGATATGACCTGCATGCATAGAGACGTGATTAGTGGGTGATTAAGTCACGGAGTGACTGACCGAGTGGTGCGGCCAGACGTGGCTAACCTGTGCGTTTGTGGTCTACTAGTAATTGTGCATGCACGTGCAACGCACGTCTCCACCAATTAATATATAATCCCAACACACACTATTTGTAATACAACAATGACAATTGTATGTGAATGAAATTTTCATCACATGAAACAAAAACAAAGGAACTATACATACATTTCAAACCCATGTATCATGCAAATAAGAACACAAAATCTCTATTGAAATAGTGGCAGCTCATTTATTTTATATTATCTAAGATAAACACAGCAATTTAAACAAAGCTTCTCCTACAAGTGACAGCTCATCTATTGTTTGTCAAGACAAAACCAAGTGCGGAATCCCGAATCTGCATCAATACACTATAGGCTGTGTTTGAGAAAGGGGAGATAGAGAAGATTGGGAAGATACGCAAAACGAGGTGAGCTATTAGTGCATAATTAATTGAGTATTAATTATTTTAAATTTCAAAAATGAACTAATATGATTTTTTAAAGCATCTTTCCTATAGAATTTTTTTTGCAAAAAACGCACCGTTTAATAGTTTGGAAAACATGCACGCGGAAAACGATGTGCAATCTATCTCCAATCTCCCCGAACGAACACTGCCTATGTATCCTACAAAGATCATTGAACATATATAGTCTAGCAATCTTATAGACCATCTAAACAAAATACGATAGTCTGGTCATGCTCCCTGGTCATCGAGCAAATAGGCAAGGTAAGCCTCTACATTAAATGGAGATAGAAGAATTTGAATACGACACTCTTCAAGCTAGCAAGCAAATTGCAATGATCATCTTAATGACTCCATCAAAAAAGAAGTTTTAGTAAACTCAATTGATGATACAGAGTCACTGTGGTATGTCAAATAAACTAATAATGAACTTTTATAAGCCTACTTCAGTTCACAATGGGAAGGCTATTTCATAAAACAACCTAGTAGATAACAGGTCATAAATAAAGGCTTACAATTTTCTATGTTTTATAACAACTGAACTGATGGAAAAAGAGCTAAAACATTGCAGTGGTATGAAAATTTTCAATCAACAGGATGTACAACATCAGTGCCAATAAAGGTTTTTGTATGTCTCCAGTCTTCACAAACTCTATTCCTCACGTTGATTGCTTAGATATATTCCTACGCAAGAAGTGCAAAAAATAGTAATAAGTAAATATATTTTTTTTTCTGTTCCAAAATAATCTTGTACCCAAATAAGAGGGTGGCACTGGAGAGTCTGATCATGTAAAACTCTGTTCACAAGAAATGGTGTTTCTCAATTTAAAAAAAGCACGTGCCCATTTGTTCCTACATACCTGGACATTGGCTGAATTTCCCTTTACCTTTTTTATAGTGGAAGAAGTGTTTTCTTGTTGTCATGATTGTTCACACTTCACACACATGTAACAAGGCACTTGTATTCCAGCATTTTTTTACTGCTGCTACAACAAATACATGTACCAACATTCCAGCATCTTGAAATAGAAGGCAATTACCTGGTTATACATTGCCCTGAACAACATGCAGTGCACTTGCATAAGATGAAATTATAGTACTGTATTTTAGTCCAAATTAAGAACATTCTAAAGGAAATAACACATACGGAAACACCTCAAACCTCCTCATAGCAGCAAGCTAGAAATAAATCAGGAGATGGCTTGCCAGTCTTCAGGTCTGGATCATCCCCCATGATAACATGGTACATCAGTGTAAACATCTCCTTGTGGTTCTGTGTCTTTAAGGAAAAATGATTCATAGATATAAAGAAATAATTAGACATGATTCTAGTTTGAAAAGTACATGGTTTACTGTGAAAAGATAGTACACAGGATTGAGGGCAAATATATTGTTTATTGAATAAATTACCCTGTTGCAACAGCCATTGGTACTCCATCCATTTCATCGCAAATAAATTTTAAGAAGAATAAATCTGACACATTCAGGTCCATTTCGTCAACCAAAGTAAGGAATAAGGGAAGCAAAATAAATGATTGGGGGTAGGTTTGACTTAATTTTAATCAGCGCGCATTATATCAACATATACATAACTAAAGAGTAAAACATTCATGTTAGCCAGGATAGGGAACTGCTGAATTGGTGCTGGATCACAATCACAACCAGGGAATTACTTTATAGCTTTGACCCAAATGAGGAGCAGCTTTCTTTGTGTTTTACCTGAAACTGAATGTATATTATTTCTTCATAGATAATATGCATTGATTGGAATGTAGGACAAAATGAGTCAAATTAAGGGAAGATTGATTTGTCGGAAGTTACCACCAAATCGGCAACATGTACGTTTGGCCTAATGCTGTTACATTAGTATAACCTTCTAAAATTATTACATGCAATGGAAGGAGATAATATAAAATTTGGATCGGGGACCAAGCATTCATGCATGTCAAGCTACCACTACTGTACTACTTAGCTGTGAATTCAATCAATGGACCAAGCATTCATGCATGTCAAGCTACCACTACTGTACTACTTAGCTGTGTAAATCTCTTATGCACTGGATGACCTAATTTACCTAAGCTAAATTGCTTCACTCTTTCCTCGATGTCACATTACATGGCATTCTCTAAATCAAACTTCCAGATGTTCAAGATTGAACCCAGCTTCACTCTTGCCTGATAGAACAAATATATTTTAACCTAAATTAAAATTAAGATTTACAGCACGCACAAGCTCACATAGATACATTCATACATTCCATGGAGTGCTGATGATGGAGATGGTCGTCAGGCAGACATGGATGGGCCTGGGGCAACGGCCTCGGCCGTGGGGCAGATAACGGCCTCTTGGTGGAACTGGCCAGATCTGCTTCACAGCGAAGGGCTCGGCGGTAGAGCGGCCAGCGAGCACCGTGATAGTGGTGTAGTGGAGGCCACGATGTGGGTATGTGGCCGAGTTCCATGGATTCCCCTCGCAAGACCGGACCAGCGCCGGCGTCGGTGGTGGCAAGGGAAGAGCGAGCGCGGTGGACGCAGTGGTGGTGTTGACGGGAGCTCAACAGTGTTGGAAGACCAGAAGAGCGAGCATGGCGTTGGGGAAGACCATGGCTCCGTCTTCGGCGGGGGCAGCGGTGGAATGTGGCGGCGGCGGCGGATGGGGACGACCTCGGCTCCAGCCGCAGTCGATGGGGAAGACCGGCTGGGGACGACCTCGGTGGCCAGCGGTGGAGTGCGCGGTGGCGGCGGTGGCGGCGGAAGGGGTTGTCCTCGGCTCCGGCCGCTGAGGAGCGGCAGATGGGGAAGAAGTAGGATCCGGCAGCGGCTGGAGAAGTCGGCTCCGGCGAGGATGCGGCGGTGCGGCGCGGTGCCAATACATGCGGGGAGGAGCGAGGAGGAGTAGCGAGCATACATGGCGAAAAGGCCCGAGGCCCGACGGCCCGGCCCACGACACAGTATTTTGGCTCGGCCCAAGCACGGCCTGGCCCGACGGGGGTCGAGCTCGTGCTGGCCCGGCCCGACAATCGTGTCGTGCCTAGGCCCCTCCACCGGCACGTTGGGCCGGCTCGGCACGGCACGGCACGATGGGCCGTAGGCTAGGCCCGATACATAAGCAATAGGGAGTAAAAATAAACATATTATATGCCACGGTCGAAAGCATAGGGACGTAAAATAGACTATTTTAGCTATATATAGGTCACATCCCAAAGAGAGGGAGGGACAATAGACTTATTTTAGCTATATATAGGTCACAACCCAAAGAAGAGGGAGGGAAAATAGACTTATTTAAAAAAAAGACACGATGGGCCACCCGTACCTTCGGCCAGCCCGGCATGGCCCGACTACTTGTGGGCCGTGCCTGGGCAGGAGGCGCAGCCCATGGGCTGGCACGGTCCGGCACGAAGTGCCGATTGGGCCGTGCCGGCCCGATGGCTGGTGGGCCGTGCCTGGGCCGGGCCGGGCCGGGTGGGCCTTTTGGCCATCTATAGTAGTGAGTCGCGTGGAGGTGGAGAGTAGCGTGTTGCGCGGAGATGCGTAGTCCTCACGCTTAGAGAGTAGTCTTCACGTGGTGACGTGGAGAAATCATGTGGTGGAGATATACCTAATTTGCGAATGGACGATAGGGTTTAACCTGATGATTTGGCATGTAGGATTGGAGAGGTGCTAACTTCTCCTTTTTATATTAGTATAGATTTAACCAATGTAATCAGCATTTGATTGGTGTGCCAAGGGTGAAATATAAGTGCATGT